CAGGGGCTACCAGTGACCTCTCAGCAGTCCAGGCTCAGCTCAAGGCCAGGCTTATGGAAGGTCACAGGCCTGCAGAGCCTGCCCAGGACACACAGGTCAGGAGGGTCTGGGACAGAGGTCACATGGGCAGAGAGAGGTCACTGTGCTCAGGGGCCAAGGGAACAGGCTGTTGTTCTGGCTGAGGAGCAGCTTGGAGGAAACTGGGACCCCCTCTCCTCAGGAGCCTGTTCTGCCCCCTCACCTACTAAGAGTGACCTTAGTTCTCAGTGAGGAGCCCCAGAGAGTGGCCAATTTGCATAAAAAACAAACGAGATCTGCCCCAGAGGACCTGAGAGGGAATAAGAGGGTCCTGCGGAGCCCAGCTGTGCTGTGGACTCAGGAGACAGAGCTCGGGGCATCTCCACCATGGCCTGGACTCCTCTCCTGCTCCCCCTCCTCACTCTCTGCACAGGTGCAGCCCCAGGCCCTGCCCCAGACTCAGCCCCCACACCCAGAGTTGAGCCTGTCCTGAACCCTGGACCCAGGCCAGACAACTCCTGGGGTGGGTCCTTTGTCCTCAAACCTCCTCTCCTCTCCTGCAGGCTCTGTGGAGTCCTATGAACTGACCCAGCTGTCCTCGGTGTCAGTGGCCCTGGGACAGACGGCCACCATCACCTGCTCTGGAGATTTACTGGATAAAAAGTATACTCAGTGGTACCAGCAGCACCCAGACCGGGCCCCTGTGGCGGTTATATATAAGGATACTGAGCGGCCCTCGGGGGTCCCTGACCGACTCTCTGGGTCCACCTCAGGCAAGACGGCCACCCTGACCATCACAGGGGCCCAGGCTGAGGACGAGGCTGACTATTACTGTCAGTCATCAGACAGCGATAAAAATTATCTCACAGTGACACAGGCAGATGGGGAAGTGACACACAAACCCCAACTCACTTTCTCTCAGCCCCAGGAGCACTGGGGACACAGCCAGGAGCAGACCTGGCCCAGCTCACCTGGATTCGAGCCTCGCAGGCTGCCCTTTCCCCCAGCCCTCCAGGCAGGTCTGTGAGGTCGAGTCAGGGCTGGGTTGTACACGGGCACACACAGGCTGTCCTGTCCTGCTCTGGTCTGTGCTGGAGAGTGAGCGGCAGGACATGCCATGAGAGGACAGAGAAGACAGAGAGCGGGGTCTGCCCACACGCACGAGATTCACGTGGTGGTGAGGGAGCCATTGCTTGGCAGAAAAACCCTGGACCAGATTCTGGAACTGCCCAGCTCTGCTGAGCTCCAGAAGCCCAGACTTGCATTGCATCATGGGACCGTGAACAGACCAACCAGTGTCTTGGGCCCTGTGGTGGCACTGCAGGGAGCTCTGGCAGCTCAGAGCTGGCCCCTCCCTGGGAGGAGCTGATGTTCCAGAAACCCCGTGCCTCCCGCAATTCGTTCTGGTCCTCACAGAGGTTTGGTTTGGTGACAGACAGAGGCTAAGATCCCAGGTCCCCCTCCACCTAGGGCCACGTGAAAGTCCTTAGCTCAAGCGGTCCCTGGAGGGGAACCTGAGGCCTCCACTGCACCCACCCTGCAGGTCAGCACCTCTTCCTGCCCCAAGGCTCCTCCTCCCTCATGACACCCAGCCTGAGCCTGCAGGTCTCCATGGACAGTCGGCCTCAGGGAAGTAGTTCAGTAACCATCTGTCCCCACTGAGGGCCTCAGGACAGGCAGCGGCTGCTGTGCACCAGAAAAAAACTGGTTTCACTCCAAATTTCATTCTGTTAATGCCCAACTGTCCTGTAACAGCTCTTTATGCCTTGCTTTTTTTTTTTTTTGGAGAGGTT